CCCTGAATAGGGGAGATTCTGTCATGAGTTTGCCTTTCTATGGGCATTTGCCTGGAGCTAGGCTTACATGTAGTTAACTAGGATGATTTGGGTGAGATTGTGATATGGAGGTTGTTCTCTATGGACTTATAGGTTTAGCCCGGGGCATTGACCTGTCTTGTGTTACAGGCCATCTTGATCGATCTGATTCAGGACTTGGACCAAATTCAGCTTGATCCCTTGGGGATCATCTTCTGTTATCACTGATAACAGGTCGGTGGTCGATTCGTCGGTTTACGACTCAACTCCAATCCACTCTTGCCACTCAACCTAAAGGCTTTAGCCCTGTGGTTTGAACTGTTTCATTGTGTTTTCACCCGGACTTTATTGAATGGTCATTTAACAAAAGTACTGAGTATTTATTTTGGGGAGTTGCACAGGAGTGTGGTTTGTATGGCTAAAGCAAGGGGTATGAGTGTAGAGAATGGTTGAAGTTGACCCCGTGTAGTGCATGGACTTTCTAGTTGAATCTTTGAGGTGATTGCAGACATGCTTGGTGATTCGGACCTGGGATTTGACTGCCTGCGCTCATATACATATATATATGGCTGAGAGGAACCCCACTGTGACTGTGAGAAGTGATCGTCCTATATTAATAACCCTCTACATATATGTGTATATATATGTCTCGAGTGTTTCGTGCGGCCTACTGGGACCAGGCGTAAGGGTTAAACAGATTATGGGTTTGAGAGAAAAGGGAGATCCCTTTTATCCTTTGCTTTTTAGAGATTTTTATGGTTGGACGTTGTAGTCCGTGGCAGCCGTCAAAGTCAAACCCCTTGACTTCTGTCCGGGCCTGGAGTGGGCCGTAAGAAACGACTGCCAACACAGGTATGGACCTGTGTATCACCCTCTCTGCACAGAGTGCAGAAGAGGGTGTGTGGTCTTCAACCGCGCTTGGCGGTTGTCCACATCGAGAGATTAACCCTCAAGGCGCGTGTCAGCCGACACTTGAGTGTCGAATGCGACCCCCGAGATTAACGAGGACCGCATGAGTATGGGTACCACATGGTACGCCATCACTGCGACTGCTTGCGTACGTTTCCATTGCTAGTCGATATGAGTAGGCCCTGCGTCCGCGCGGTTTTATTCTAAGTCTCGCGCGCGACGCCTATCCGATTTCCGCATCTGAAAGTTATGAAACGGCTACCGAGGGGCTAGGAGCATTGTCGCGTTGTTTGTATTGTGTCATTTCGAATGTGCGCGTGGTGTGTGGGATGCGTCCTAGTCGACCGACGTCGAGTCGTGCTTGGGACCTCAGCCCCCCAAGATGTCAATTCGCGTGTGGGTCCGATTGAGGCGTATTACCATCCGTACCCCCTATGCTACAACGAACGAGAAGCGCCATGACTGGTCAACTCTGCGATTGCAACTGATTAGCTTTCGTATTGTGGATTGGTAGCTCGGCGGGGATACGCCCACCGAAGGGAGGTGACAACTCCCGTAAGGTGGAGGTAAGTCGTGCCTCGCGTAGGCCCTATCCTCTCGTAGGGGCTCGCGAGAGGTGTGGCTGGCGCACTCGGCCGGAGCGGCTTGCGGAAGCTCCATGTATATTTGCGATGAAGGATTAAAGCCCGACTCCTGCGTGACGCGGCCGGGAGCGTCCCACGCTGCCTCGTGTGGTGCCGGACCGATGCGCCCGACACCGGTGTCGGATCCGCCTGCGCGTCCATAGGCACAAAGATCATGCCTTCGAGTAGCCCACTGGTTCTCATTTTGAATCAGGGACTCCGTGCTGGCGGCATTCCGTCTGTCTCGTGCCGCTGCGTCAGCCTCGGCAGGTCGCTGAGTTTGGGCTGCCGCCTCATTTGCCAGCCGCAGACGTTCTGCCTCTGCTGCCTCCTGCTGTGCCTTAGCGGTAGCTACGGCATCCGTAAATGCCTGTAGCCGCTGAAGGTAAGCAGACAACGGCTCACTTGCCCCTTGGACCGGACATGCGGGAAGAGCCCCGGTGGTAACTGGTACTGCCGTAGCTGTAGTTGATGTCGCTGGAGTCGTCCGCCTGCTGAGCCGTTGTTGCTGATACTTAGACCGTGGAGGTACCACAGAACGACTACGAACTGCGAGCCTGGCCCTGTGTCGTGGCAGTGCCCCGGTGTCCTGTTCCGTCGACATCAACACAAGCTGATGTGGTACTTTAGAAATCCCGGTGGTCACAGATTGCGGGGAGGGTAGGGAGAGTGGGAACAGGGGTAGAATCAATCAAACACTTCGCAAACAGTCCCTGTCCCAATGATGGACTTAGAATAGGAAAAAGGATAAACTTTCCCAACACAACTTAAAAATTCGTAATAAGAAATAATAATGAATTAATAATCAATAAAATTTGAATTAAATAATTAATAACGAATTAATATTGCTTAATAATCAATAAACCAATAATTGCAAAATTGATAATTACCGAATTTTAAATTGTGACAAGATTAGGTATCCGTTGAGATCTTCTATGGTCCGGGAGTTCACCGTTGATGAGTGAACTACCCGGGAGTTGCAATTCTGAGGGAACAATCCGAACAGTTTGCCAAAAAAAAATTCGGAAAAATCAGGAAGAAAAACACTCGAATTTTTGAAAAACGTAAAATTTCCGAAATTTCGACTTGCAAAATCCGATTTTTAAAGGCCTAAGTCCGTTTTCGGAATTTTTCAAACTAGGGAAAGAAAATCGCGAAAATTTCGGAGCCCAACCCTAATTTTCCGCGATTTCGCGGAATTTCCAGTTTTATGGTTCCAAAACATTCGAATTTCCCAATTTGAACAAAATCCGAAATTTATCGTAACCCTAATTTCCAATACTGAAATAAAAACGGCCTAATAACCATACTTGCAAGCGTACGTCGTACGCGACATTCCAGACGTCTGGCGCACGGGCCGGACTGTACCGTACGGCGCACGACTGTCTGGCGCACAGCCCGACCCCCCCCCCCCCCAAAAAAAAAAAAAAAGGCGGGACTCGAAACGGCACATCGGAGGCCCCCCGCCAAAAATGTTGCGACGGCCAAAAAAAAAAATTTTCCCACCCCGCTCAAGGCCGGACCGCCAGGTTTCGAATTTTCGAAACCTGCTGTTTCGTGGACTTCCCACTGTTTGTGGGCTTGGCTGGGCCTCGGTAGGGTTGTCATCTGTCGCGGCCATTTCGAGGAGCTACCGCCGCCGTTCTCAAGCGCCTTGCACTCAGAGGAGGTCTGCCGTGCTGCCGTGCTGCCGTGCTGCCGTGCTGCTGCTGCCGAGGAGCTGCTGCCATCGCCCCGGTGAGTACCTCGACCTCCCCTTCATCGTCCTCACTGCCTCCTCCTCCTCCTCCTCCTCTCCTCCCGCTGGTCCTCCTCCTCCTCCCCTTCCTCGTCCTCCATCTCTCCTCCTCGTCCTCCGTTCTCGTCGTCGTCGTCCTCCTC